TCAGCTTTCAGTGCAGGTAATTCATATGTCTATTGTTCTTCAAGAGCTTTATTATCAATTTCTCAAAGAGGTCATGCTCCAAAATTCTTTCAATATTGTACAAAGAGTGGTGTTCCAATCTTTTGTATTGCAGTTTCATTCATGTTTTCATTATTATCATTATTACAATTGGGTGATTCAGCTGCTAAAGTTTTAACCTGGATTGTTAATTTGGTCACTGGTGCTCAAATTACAAATTATTTTTTCATGTGTATTACTTATTTGGGTTTCTGGAATGCTTGCAGAGTTCAAGGTTTGAACAGATCAAAATTCCAATACACTTCATGGTTCCAACCTTATACTGCCATCTTTGCACTTGTCTTGACTGCTTGTATGGTTGGTGCTATTGGTTACACTTGTTTTATGCCTGGTAAATTTACTGTTCAAGATTTCTTGACCAATTATTTGATGATTTTATTGGATATTGTCATTTACATTGCTTATAAATTGATCAAAAGAACAAAATTTGTTAACCCTGCTGAAGCTGATTTAGTTACTGGTTTAGAAGAAGTTGAACAACATGAAATGAATTATTTGGAAGAACAAGAAAGAAAAGGAAAACTCAATAGAGATGGTTGGAGATCAAAAGTTTCTGGATGGATCTTTTGAAACCAATCACACATCTTTCATCAACATGATCACCTGTATCATCAAGGGGAAAAAAAAGTTCAATTTTAGAGGTTTGTATTATTTAATTTAGTTGGTTATTTCAATGTTTTTCTTTTTATTATATTATCACATACATTTTTTTTTAGATTATTATTATTATTACTTGTCATTATTTGGTTTGGTGGAGTTAGATCATAGCATTATTAATAAATGGGGTTCTCAAAATTAAAATATGAATTGTAGTTACTTTCAGCTTATACTTTCGCGAATTTGGGCTTCGCGAATCCGTTTTACGCTTTTAATGGAACAATTTTTGACAATTTCTGGTCTTTTGAACAATAAACTTCAACCAGTACTATACATTTCTACCAATCTTGATATGACAATGTTTTCAAGGGTCAAATTCACTTCAAAAACTAGTCTATTTGGTATCAGATCTTTACACAACTTTACTCAACCAAAGTCAATCTCTCAAGCTCAATTGATCAAATCTATAGAGACATCCATAAAGCAAAATCACCCAAGACAACCTTTCTTCAAATCTTTAGTTCAAATCACTTCAATAATAGTGATATCCGCTATAAGTACAGTTGGTGTTTATTCTGCATATCAAGTTGCTTATAAAAAAGATAAAGCATTTATCCCACTATGGATAAATTCTCATAAAAGAAGTCCAAAACCTGGGGAAATTGATCTAAAACAAATTCAAGAACTTGCTGAAGGTCAACTATTGGAAAGGTTATCCCTAGATGAACAAATCAAGCAAATTTTTAAATTGCCCTTAATTCAAGAAAGTTGCTCAGAATTTGATGTTTGGATTGAAGAGAAATATCCAAGTTTAAAAGGTTTACAAATATCACCAGATTCTCCCTTCTTGAAAATAACCAACAAACCCATCAAGGTTAAGAAAATATTCGATCAGATCTTGGAACCTGTTGGTGGAGCACTCTCTGGTGAGCCTGATTTTAAAATACCGGTTTATAATCAACATCCAAATAAAGAGAAGAGTTATGATATAGTGTTTTTAGGTAAGGTTCCAATTAGAGGTAAAAATGGTACAACTGCAGAGGTTGTATTCAAAGGTATATTTGATTTTGAACACGTTAAGCATGCCAAAATTTTAAAAGCTCATCTTATTGAAAAAGATAAAGATGGGAAACTATCAAGAAAAATTCTATGGGAATGATACAAATTGTCATTTTATGTGTACATATTTAATTAATCTATATTTATTCTATTCAAAAGTCGTCATCATCAAAATCAGCCCAATCAAGATCTTGATGGTTGGCAATGAAATAATCAAGTCTCTCCATATGTTCTTGTTGTTCTTTTCTTTTAGCTTCAGTCATTGGTTCTGGCTCATAGTATTCAGGTTCTGGTTTTGACTGGGTTTGTTCTGCTCTTGGTTTGGTAAAACGGTTATGTTTTCTAGGTGATTCTCTCTTTGATCTTTGATCTGGTTTAGTATGTGAATTTTTACCATGATCCCATTCACGACAAGCATTTATACGTTCATTTTTGAGCCTGTTGCGTTCCTCTTCTCTCTTGTTCCTTATCGCTTTTTTATCATCTATTGTTACGCCTAATCTTGAGGCAAAATCTTTAGCAGCTTTTGTAGGTGGGACAGGTTTTGCTTCAAGTTCTTCTTCTTCTTCATCCTCCCAGTCATCACCTTCGGATTCTGGTTGATACCTTGGTTCTTTCTTGAATTGAATCTTTGGTTTGGAGGCCACACTAGACCGCTCATTATCAGTAGATATTCCCAATCTTGATGCAAACTTTCTAGCTTCGGGACTCATTTCCACTCTATCATCTTCTTCTTCTTCTTCTAATTGTAGGTTTTTCTCAAACTTTTGACTTAGGTCAACATGATCTTCTTGTTTATTATGATGTTTTCTTGGTGTATGTTTCTTTGGATGTTTATTTTGATTTTTGGTAGGACTAATCTCTTCCTCTTCAGGTGCATCAGCCCATTTACTGACTAGTGGTTTGCCCTTTTCAGATGTCACTGGTGAAGCCCATTTGGATTCTAATGCTTTACCTTTTTGAGAAGGTATTGGACTTGCCCATTTTGAATCTTCAATTTGTGATTTGTTTGGACTAGATTTTGAATGATCTTGTTTTTTAGCTTCTTCCACCAATTCGGGGTCATCTGCCCATCTTGAAACTAGTTTTGACATTGTATAATATGAGCCTGTGTGATTTTTATAGAAAGATAATAGATCTGTTTTGATCAAAAGTAATTAGATTGGTTTATTTCCTAGATCTTGAATCATTCCAAAAGGCTGGTTACAAGTTTTTTATCAAGTTTGACTCAGAAAATTGAGCCGGCCAACAAAATTTGACACATTATAAAGACCAATGTACATCAAAGATTTGAGATAAGTTTTCATTTGAAATTATATTATATACAAGACGATTATTAATACTGGATAATGTTCAATGGACAGCAATCAATCTCATGCTGAATTTTGGTTTGTAGCTGAGGAGTTTTCAACATCAGCAGCTTCTTTGTTCTCAGTTTTTTTACCTTTGATTGTGACCAAAGCTAGACAAAGACAACCTGAAGCTGCAAAAGCCAAGTAGAAATTCTTTTTGAACCTTTCGTGTAACTCAACTCTTGAATCATAATCATGATTGAGCGTCAAATCTCCCACCAAGGCAGCAATAATAGTATTACCAAAACAAATACCTATTTGACCAGCTGTTTGTAAAATCCCTGAAACAACACCTTGTAAATGAACAGGTGTTCCTGTCAAAATATCATTCCAATAGACTTGGAAATATAAATTGATACCGAATCCAAAGATCAATTCACTAAAACATTGATACTTCCAAAAATTATGACTTTTCCTGAAATCAACTCTTGATAACCATACAGTCATTGTTAATAAAAGAATTGGAGATGCCATAATAACAAACTTTGTCCCAATTCTTTGAGCTGTTTTTTCTTTATATAATAAAGCACCAACTGTTAACCCCAAAGGAACTGGCAAAACTTTTACAGCAGCAAGAATTGGAGGATCTAAGGTGATATATAAGTTATATTGAATCATAGTACTCATTATTGCAATAAAGTCAATATAGAACAAAAAAGTGGAAACCAAATATTGGAAAAAATTTGGAATGGTGATAACTTCTCGTGGAAATAAAAGTTGAATAGTATATCTCCAATCGTTGGATCCTTTTACCTCTGTTGTAATTTGCTTTGTTTCTTCCTTCTTTTCACTACCTTCAACATTTACTTTAGTTTCTTCAATTTGTTTCAATCTTGAATCAACCTTGTCTTTGTAATTTTGGATATATCCCATTTCAAAAATAACAACACTGAAAAAAACTAAAACTCCAATAACTAATGGAATATAAGAGGATTTCCTATGCCATGATTCACCACCTTCAGTTAGCCCTAGAATGATCAATAATAAGCCAATAACCAAAAAAATTGATCCTCCAAAATCCAAGTCTCTAATTCTCAAGTTCTTGTGACCTTCCGTGATATCGATTGGTATAATCAAAAAATATAACGCAATGAATAGTGTCATTCCAATGGCAAATGTAAAATAATACAATCCTTTATAGCCAATACTAGACATCGAGAAAGCACCACCCAAAATTAATCCAACTCCAAAAATAGCAGTCAATGCTAAGATCAATCCAGTGACTGCTCTTTGTAATGCAACACCTGTAAAATAGCTACCTGTCAACGCAAAAGCTGAAGGGATTAAACTTGCTGCAAAAATACCTTGTAAGGCTCTAAACACAATCAAAGCGATAATCTCCTTGACAATAACAGCAGAAATTAAGGCAAAAATACTTGTAAAGAATAAACCAATCAAAAAAACATTATGAGGACCCAATGCATCAGCTAATTTGCCTGCAATAATGATGAATGCTCCAAGAGTCAAAGCATATGACGCAAAGACCCAAGACACAGTGGTGGTGGTAGAATCAAAACTTTCAGTGATTGAAAAGATGGAAGTTAAAGTACCTGAAACATTCAAATTATCCAAAGAAGTTGCAGATAATATGAATAAATAAACAATTACCTTGTTTCTTCTCTCCATAGGCACAACATTTCGGCCTTTTAATAGGGAATTTTTGATATTTGATAGCATTGTGAATGAATCTAGTGGCTTTAAACCTGTTTCAAATTAAACTCATTGCAACAAAAATGAGCCAAATTCCTCCTTAAATAAAATTTCAATTCTTCACAACTCGTTTAGCAGATTCCAAAATATCAACCATTGGCCGCTTGTTACTTTAATAATTAACGCTGAAGCATGCTATTATAAGCCTGAAACTCTTTACGAAGATCTGAATTGGGAAGGCTTCATTATTAATTTTTCTGCATCCTTGTTGGTCATTGAGGTTCTTGTAAATACTGATTAAAATCCTCTTGATACAATTAGATGCAAAACATCAATAACAGCAGAGCTTGAACTTATAAAAGAAAAAAAAACGAGCAAATTAATTTATCAGCATTGACCTCTAGTTATATATCTTCATGCTTCGGGATTTGACTTGAACTTGAGCAAATAAAATTGTGTCAGCATCATCAACATCAGCAACGTTACCAGTATCATCACCTAAAGCAACAGCTGTATTCAATTATTTGATGCCTCATTGATAATGGCCAATAAAGACTCTATATTCTATTTGTAATTTGGTCAACAATTCATCTTTCGAGTAACAAGGCATTAAGCGCTGTGTTCATGGATCGTATAGATCTTGCCCCAAGTATCGTCATTAGCTGTGCATTCCATTTGCCATTCACCAGATATGTTGCATCTTAATCATGGTAATAATTCAACAGCAGCACCTGTCGTAGCACTAGACGTTATTCCGGCTCTGAAGGCGTAAATGAGTATCGTTAGTTCAGATATGTACAAAAATTCAAAAACCCTGAAGTTGTAGTGATATTAAATCCGGCCGAAATCATTGAAAAAAAATTATTTGAAGACCTGAAAATCTACTTTTCAACGAACAATAACAACAACATTTTGTTAAATAAGGTGGTCTAAAAAATTACTTAAATTATATAAAACTGAATTCTCTATTGAATGGAAGTCTTTTTAGAGTTTTTTCATTTTTAATGTGTTGAACTACCGAAGTTTTTAATTTAATTTTATGAAAAGGAGATCAATGAATTTCTTAAATATATATTTAGTTTTCGAAAAAGGCCTCAAAACATTTATAAATTCATTGATAATCTAACTGAATATATATTGAAGGCGACTGCCTAAAAATTAGCTTATTAATTAGTTATTTTCATGGTTTTATATCTAATTACAGCATCAGTTGATTACGTAAGCCACAAAATGGGGTAATAGAATTTCAGAAAAACAAATTTAAAAAAGGCACTTTGGCCGAGTGGTTAAGGCGAAAGACTTGAATTATTCAGGGTATCTTTTGGGATTTTCCCGCGCAGGTTCGAGTCCTGCAGGTGTCGTTATTTTTTTGGAGCGATTTTTGCTAATTTTTTGGCCTTTTCAGTGGGTATTTCACTTTATTTTTAACTTTTATTCATGTATAGGCTACCAGAGTACACTCTGATGTGTTTTTTTGGTCTGGAAAGCCTAAGTGGTTGGTGGTTAATGTGGTTTTAAACATTTGGATCTATTCCGAGAATGAAAAATCAACTTTAAAAGACACGAAAATCTTAAATTAATCTACAAAATATTTAACTCATTAGTCCTATTTTTAATATACAAAGAAGAATATCTAGGTATTCCATTATGACCGATAACAATCATAACTAAAAAAGAAGCTCAATAATTAAACAAACAAAAACTAACAATCACGAAAGGGAAAACAAGTAACAGAAATGGAAAAAGACACAAACAATTCAAAGGCATAATCTATCAATTCAAAGCTCTTTTGTTAAAGATTGAAATTTAGTTGGATTTGAAGCACTTAATTCTTTTAATTTATTAATATGATGAATTGTCTTTGCAATTGTTTGAATTAATAAATTAGGTTTCAATGGTTTTGAAATATATTCATCCATTTGGTTTTGTAAACATCTTTCACGATCACCCAACATAGCATGTGCAGTCAAAGCAATGATTGGAACTCTAACACTGAATGGATCCATTGGATTAACTTCTTTTTCCCATTTTCTAATTTTTTCAGTAGCTTCAAACCCACCCATAATTGGCATTTGAACATCCATTAGAACGACATCATAACGTTTGTTTTTAACTTCTTCAAAAGCTTCTAAACCATTTTGTACCACATGTACTTCATGACCATATTTTTCTAAAATACGAACAGCTAATTTTTGATTCACCAAATTATCTTCAGCTAACAAGATGACATATGATTGTGGAGTGTTATCATCACTTGGAACGACTCTTGATTCTAGTGCAGGTTTCAAGTAACCAGCTAAATCTATTAACGAACATGGTGTGTTACCATAAGATTGAATACCAAGATCTAGACAAACTTTCATATTCAATTTTGGGATCATTGGATTTAGTAAAACAAATGGAATGTATTTGATTTCTGGTAATTCTCTAAGGGACTTACCAATTTCTAATGAATCAATTATGATAACATCAAATTTAGATTGTTCTTCTGAGCTAACTTCTGCAATATCATGAACCACTGTAGGTCTTAAATTCAAATCCACTAAATCTTTTCTAACTTTTTCAGTTTCTTCTTTCGAATAAATTGTAGAAATGAATAAAATTTGATGTAAATTGAAAGTCAATAGAGCATCTGATTGTTTACTTAATTCAGCCTTAGCTGGTGAAGTTGCAATAGTGAAATAAAATTTAGAACCTTCCTTAAAAGCAGATGTAACCCAAATTTCACCACCCATTAAATGAATTAATTTTTTAGAAATTGATAAACCTAATCCAGTACCACCAAATTTTCTTGTTGTTGAACCATCAGCTTGAGTAAAAGTTTCAAAAATCAAATCCAATTTTTCCTTTTTAATACCAATACCTGTATCAGAAACACAGAATTCTAAAGCTAATGAACTATCTTTTTTGATTAAAGGTTCTGAATCATTCAATAGTTTATTACTATTAGTACCAATAACATAATTATTATTTTCAATTGTTTTGGAAATTTGAGTTTCTAAAGGTTCAGTAGCCTTCTTGACACTCAATTTAACATGACCTTTTGAAGTGAATTTGATGGCATTACCAACCAAATTTAAAATAACTTGTCTTAATCTGAAAGAATCACCAATTAACGAATCTGGGAATGAACTATCAACTTCATAAATCAATTCTAATGGCCTTTCAATGGATTTAACAGCTAAAGTTTTCAATGCACCGAAAACAGTGCCTCTTAATGAGAATTCAGCTTCTTCAATTGTCATTCTATTTGCTTCAATTTTGGAAATATCCAGTATATCATCAATGATTGTTAATAAAGAATTTGCCAAGTTATGAACAGTTGATAACATTTCTCTTTGATATTGAGTCAATTCGGTATCTAGTGTCAATTGGGTGTAATTCAAAATACCATTGAATGGAGTTCTTAATTCATGAGAGAAAATACCCAAGAATTCTGATTTTGCACTATTTGCCAATTCAGCAGCTTCTCTTGCTGCAGTGTTTCTTTTGATTGATTCTCTTAAATTGAAAACCATTTGATTAATTTTAGTCTTTAGAGTGTCCATTTCACCACTCGCCTCCACAGTAATGAATTTTGTAAAATCACCATCAGTGGCAGCAGCTGTAATTTGAGCAAAAGCTCTGACTTGAGAAGTTAGATTAGCAGCCATTACATTAACGTTTGTAATAATTTCTTTCCATAACCCATCAACATCACTAACTTGAGCCTGGACACCCAATTTACCATCTATACCGACATCTTTAGCAACTCTTGTCACTTCACTAACGAAAACTTGTAAGGAGTCAACCATCTTATTGATAGTGGATTTCAATTCTAAAATTTCACCTTGTGCAACAACATCAATCTTCTGAGACAAATCACCATGAGCAACTGCAGTGGTAACAGCTGCTATAGATCTAACTTGATTTGTTAAATTAGTAGCCATTGCATTGACATTATCTGTCAAATCTTTCCAAGCCCCCTCAACACCATTGACAACAGCTTGACCACCCAATATACCCTTTATACCAACATCAGTAGCCAAACTTGTAACTTCCATAGCAAAAGTTTGTAAAGAATCCACCATTTGATTGATTGTTGATTTCAAATCCAGAATTTCACCTTTACAATCAGCAGTAACCTTTTTAGATAAGTCACCTTTGGCGACAGCAGTTGTAACATTTGCAATATTTCGAACTTGATTTGTTAAATTTGTAGCCATAGCATTCACATTATCAGTTAATTCTTTCCATATACCTTTAGCACCAACAACTATAGCTTGACCACCCAATCGACCTTCAACACCCGTTTCTCTTGAGACTCTAGTAACTTCAAATGCAAAAGTTTTCAATTGATCAACCATAGTATTAATAATTTCTTGTAATTCCAAAATTTCACCTTGTGCATGAACATTAATCTTTCTTGATAAATCACCTCCAGCAACAGCTCTAACAACATCTGCAATTTCTCTAACTTGGTTAGTTAAATTTAAGGCCATAACATTTAAATTATCAGACAAGACTCTCCAGATACCAACAGTTCCAGCACTTTTAACTTGACCACCTAATTCACCATGAGCAACTTCAGTAGCGATCTTAACCACTTCAGCAGAGAAAGTATTTAATTGATCAACCATAGTATTTATCGTTATTTTAACTTTTAAAATTTCTGGATCTGGTTCATCTTTAATATCAACTTTTTTAGTAACATCACCCATTGCCACAGCTATCAATACGTTGCCAATTTCAGTTAGGGCTTGTCTTGATCTTTGTGTAGTCTCTTCATGTTTATCTAATTGCTGTTGTTGAGTAGTTAGCTTAGTTATAGCAGCTTGACGAAATGATTCCAATTCAGATTCATCGTTTAATAAAGATTTCAATTGAACTGGATCGTTCAAGATGGAGAGCACGTCAACCGAGCTTCCCATTTTTTGTCTCTTATTTGATGGAATTTTGGGAATAAAAAAATCACTCTTTGTTTTGGTTTATTTGATGGCGTTGCAGCAGTGATTGAAAATTGATCCTTGTACACTTGAATTCTATATTTGTGATAAACACACTAGGAATGTAGATGCTAGGAATGTGGGATGGATTTGGAACACAGCGGTTGAGTTTCTTTAATCCCAGAGTGCAATGAAAGATAGCAAACTAAAGGTCTATTTGATATACTAGCCACCAACTTTTGTCAAAAGTCCTTTCAGGTTTTGCGTTTTTCTGAATTTTAATTTTGTTGATGATGATGATGTTTTTTGTTGATTTTGGTTTTTTTTGGAAACGTACCTTTTTTCGAGTCGCGCAGCACGGCCCTAATTTTGGAACTGATTTTGGGTGGTTTGTTTTGAGATGAAACAGAGTGGAAAAGTCAATGAAAAGTGGATTTTGTGCTGGGGATTATTGTGACAAGAATGTATGCGTAGTTTGTTTAGGCTCTTATGTATAGGCTCGTTTTAACAGCACCTGGTTCTCCGTTAAAATCTCTGCTGGGTCCTTTATCGGGGCTTATAAGGCTCAGGGTGCAACTAGGTGTATAGAGCTAAGGATCGAATTATCAATTACTGGTCATTCAGACCCTTGGTTCATTAAAGTCGCTGAATAGAATATTGTGTCTTTTCAGTATAGTTTGTCGACTCACGAATCTAAGACCTTGTAGTATATCTTGGTGAAAATAGTGAAGTATTCTGGTAAATTTTACTCCTCACTATAGTCAACACGATTATTTCACAGAAGTGCCATATAACATTCAAGTAATGATATAAATTGAAGATCTAATTCATATAATTCGATATTTAATTAATCAGATTCATTGCAGTATAAAACAGGATATTGATCAGTCTACACCAGGCATTGGAAAATGAAAAATACTATGTAGTATTGAAACCAGTTGGGATACTCTAATTAAAGGCTCACAGCAAAAAGCGTCAATACTGAACATCATCGTGATATCACGGAATAGCTTTGCTCCCCTGATCTCTTTTGTTATCGAATTAACTTCATAAGTAATCAATCACAGATAAACAAAAGATTGGCTAGGGATCAGAAGTCACAACCTCTAACTTTTGAAAGTCGAGATCGTTCAATCCAGAAGCTTATGAGGACCTGTTAAATACAATCCGGTTCAAAATGTACAATCGCAACTTTCTCAAAACCACTGCTGTGTTCCCTGATTCGTTAACAGTTTTCAATGGTGCTTATTCGCTGAATATGCTGCTGTTCACGAGAGTCAACTCGAGAGTCAACTCGAGAGTCAACTCGAGAGTCAACTCGTTGATCTCCGACGATGGTGCTCATTTCAATACTCCATATATTGGCGAGTTGGCCCATTTTATCTTCCAATGACGCAAGGAAGTGTTGAAAGAGGTAATCAAAGTATTAAACTAAAATGATTAAGTTGGTGGGAACTACTTGGAAGTGTTGAACTTTTTTATTTTGTATGTGCTTAGTCAGCTTAAGCCTCTATACAAAAATCATAACTTGACGTTTCTCCAATCTATTGTTTTGAAAATGTCGGTTTGTGGTTTGGTGCTGGTACAATCCCATTATCGTCATTGTAACGTTTTTGTGTCTGACCGTTAGATGTACGTCATTGAAGAATTTAGATCGTTTTTGTGGTTGCCTATAGAAATTCACATTGTTTTGTGTTTGTGGTCATGTACACAAAGATGAATTACTTAGGAGAATAATTCAATTACTATGGTGTTTGTGGTTTGTGGTTTGTGGTTCTGTGGTTGCTTTGGGTTTTGTGTCATTGGCGTGGAAAAGGTTAAAAGAAGGTGGAATCCCAATCAACTTGTATTCTTTTACAACTCATAATTCACTGCTGGTGTTTTCATTCATTTCCATTCATCATTTATTTCCAGGTAGACAGCTCATGTTCATTAGACCCTTGATATTCTTTATGGTTTCACAGTTCACTTTGATGGTTAGAAAGGTTATTATTTGTCAGATGAATCTAGTGTCCTTTGTGATACGTTATCCTTGTTTGATGAGTTACTATTATGACGGTCAGTGGTGGGCTTGATTGATAGGAAGTACTTTGATTCACTACCCCCATTGAAAGATTCGAGAGCTTGTTCTTTTGAGTTTAGTATTTGGGTTTCATTGTTACCTTGAACTTATATCAACAACTTCGGGAGGATTTTTGATTAAATAACTATAACTTTTCATTTCAAATAACCTAGGATGACTATTATGTTTACTTGATTCTGATGATTTTGAAAAACTTCTTCCCCAGCCTCTTTGTTTTTCCATAAAATCGACGATGATTGTTCTCATATGTTGTTCTTGAATTTGTGTTTCAAGATATCATCCCCCAATGGTGTTCTTTTGTTTCGTTGACATCTACCCCAGGCCATCATTCATTGTTCATTTCCAATTCTTGCTTTTTGGTATTATCATTTACTTTTTTTTGTTATTTCTTCATCAATCTTTGTGCTGTTCAATTACTAACTTTATTTACAGATACTTATGTTTGTCTTGTCATTTCATTTTGGGGTTTATTGCTGACTTTCCATTGTTGTTGTGTTACACCTGTTTACTGTTCATTGATTTTGTTTTTCCATGTTGTTACAAACTTTTTTTTTAACATTGTCATTACACTTGTTTGTTGTTTTTCCTTTTTTTTTTCTGGTTGTCCTTTGGATTTGTGTTAAGAATTCTTGATTTACTCAAGTTTTTGTTTTGGGATCTGGGGGATTTTTTTTATTGTGGGATCTGGGGGATTTTATCATGGGATCTGGGGGATTTTTATTCTATTGAGCATGGGTACTAGGGGCTTTAGACCATTTTGATTGTGTGGGATCTGGGGGATTTGCTTTTTTATTTACTTTTTACTTTTTTTTTTCATTATTGGGTTTCTACAAGGTTCAGTTCTTCATGGTGGATGTATTCTTCTTGAATTATTTTGAAATAGGGGAACATAATGGAGATTTTTACTACATGTTTTCAATTGAAAGGTTTCAACGAGTGAATAGATGTTGAAGGTCAATTGGGTGGACTACATTTAGATGTACTTATGATTCCTGGAAACTTGTGAAAATTGATGAAGTTATGATTTCGGAATTTTTCAGCTTTTGATGATGATGTTGATGGGAATTCATTGCTTGCTTCATTTTCCTGTGTAGTGCGGGAAAAGTATTGAGTCAGTCAAGATGCCAATTTATTGGTAGAATAATGTTTTCTTTGAAACTAGTCAAAAGTCATAAGAAGTTTACAAGAAGACCAAAAAAAAAAAAAAAAAAAAAACAAATTATAAAAGAACATGAACTTGAAGCCTGATCATTTAATTATTAAGATCAGTTGATCTTTAGTTGTTATTCCATTTAAAC